AGAAGAATTCGATCCATTGTTTATTAAAGATAATTGAAATTTTGATGAGAATTTTAAAAAATTTCTAGACATAGGTAATTGAATTTTCTAAAAAATTTTAAAATTAATTGAAATATTGTACTAAATTTTATTAAAATTTTCAAAAATAATTGAATTCTTAAAAGAACTTTATTAATTTTTTTTAAATAATTGAATTCTAACAAAGAATTTTTTAAAAATCATTTAAAATAATTGATTTTTTTTTTGAAAAATTTTATGAAAATTGTGTTTGAAAATAAATAATATTTCTGTGAAAAATTTATTAATATGAAAATAATTGAATTCCTAAAAAGAATTTTAATATTTATAAAAATAATTGAATCCTTGTAAAAATTTTATACTATTTATAAAAATAATTGAATTATTGCGAAAAAATGTATAAAAAAATTTGTAAATCATTGAATTCTTGCAAAGAATTTCATCAAAAAATTTGCTAATAATTGAATTTCTTCGAAGAATTTTATTATTTATGAAAATAATTGAATTTTTATAACGAGTTATATTGAAACTTTCGATAATCCCAATTAAATTCTTTTGAAGAATTTCCTTGAATTATTTTAAAATAATGGAGATTCTTTAATAATTTTAATTGGAAATGTTCAATATAATTGAATTTTATATCAACAATTTCTTTGAAGTTTTTACAATAATCGTGTTTCTTAATAATTGAAATTTAACATTTAATTCTTGGATTTTATTAAAATTTTTAGAAATTAATTGAATTCTTTTGAAAAATTTCTTTAATTTATTGAATGCAATCGAATTTCTTAATAAATAATTGTATTGAAAATAATTTAATTTTTGCGAAGAATTTTATTATTTATGAAAAATAATTTAATTTTTACGATGAACTTTACTACTTATAAAAATAATTGAAATGTTTCGCAGGATTTATTAAAATTTTAGAAAATAATTGGATTCTTTGGAAAAATGTTATTAAAATTTTTTTAAAAAAATGGAATTCTTTCATAAAATTTTTTTAAAATTGTATTAAAAATAATTGAGTTTTTGCAAAGAATTTTACTATTTATAAAAATAATTGAATACCTTGGAAGAATTTTGTTATTTCTCTAAATAATTGAATTTCTTTAAGAATTTCTATTAAAATTTGCGAAAATGATTAAATTTTGGAGAAGAATTCCATTATTTATAAAGATAATTAAAATTTTTATGAGAATATTTTTAATAATTTACATAATTGAACATACCTAATTGAATTCATATGAAGAGTAAAAAAAATTGTTTAAAAATAATTGAATTATTGCAATGAATTTTATTAAAATTTTCAAAAATAACTGAATTCTTACAAAGAACTTTATTAAGTTTTGTAAAAATAATTAAATTCTAGTAAATAATTTTATAAAAATCATTTTAAATAATTGATTTTTTGTTAAAAAATTTTATAAAAATTTTGTGTGCAAATAAAAAAAATTCATGTGAAAATTTTATTATTTATGGAAATAATTGAATTCCTAAAAAGAATTTTATTATTTACGAAAATAATTGAGTCCTTGTAAAAATTTTACAGATTTTTGTTTTTTTTTATTACTTATGAAAATAATTGAATTTTTGTGAATAAGTTTATAAAAAAGTTTATAAATTATTGAATTCTTGCAAAGAATTTTCTTAAAAGAATTTTATTACTTTTGAAAATAATTTAATTTTTGCAGTAATTTATTTTTGTATTGTGGCTAAATTACGACAGTAAAAATGGTGCCAGAAATGTATAATTAGTTTATAAGTTTTTTTTAGTTTTTTTTTTACTTATAAGTAGTTTGTTTTGTAAGTAGTTTCAATATTATAGTGACAGGACAACGATATTCCGGCAACAGTGCGACAAAACTGTTCCAGCATCATAGGAATATTAAAAAGAAATTCATCAATACCATAACATAAATCCATTAAAATTACAGTAACCTCAAAGCAAGATTGTCATTAATTTGAAAAATTCATTTCACTTTTACCACAACTTCCAATAAAAATAGAGAGTTGGAAAATATTTTAATAAACGTACATCATTTTTCTTATCGAATGTGATCGTATGCTATATTAAAGGGAGTTATATACTCTTAATCTCTTTGAAATGTGGGAGAAAAAAAGTTTTAGAAGACTTAACTAATGCGTTCGAGTCTCGAGTCTCCAGTCGCAAAACAGTTGGTCTGGAAATAATAATAATAATAATAAAAAAGAAGAAGAAGAAAAAAATAAAATAAAATCTGTTGTAAAGCAATTATTAATGGCGAGGCATGCAATGCTGCCAGAAACTTTCAGCACACGCAAATAAGCTATATTCCTTTGCCTCTGCATATTCCCAACTTCGGGCCAGTGGTAACCCACCCTTTTTATATACCTTTTTCAGATTTTAATCCGTCTTTGGCACTGTACCGACCCTTTTCCGAATCCTTCCCACAAACCGGATCCTTTCGGCGGAAGATAGAAAAATTCAACTTCCACTGAGTATTACCCCATTTCTCTTCTTTCTCTCTTTGCCCCTCTCCTGTGTTTTTTCCTCCTTTACCTGGTAATCTTCTTTTTTTTTTAACCCCCAAACGAAATTGTGATGCTTTCGAGCTTCGTTGGCCTGCCAAATTAATCTCCCTGCACATTCATTTGCACTGCTTTTCTTTAATGAGAACTGATTTCTCAAAAAAAAAAAAATTCCACGATTTATTAAATTTTTTTTTATCCCTTTTTTTTAGAAAATCTCATCTAAAATATATTATTAAAGTATTAAAGAAAAAAAAACCTTTTTTTTCCTGATTCTTTTCGAGCAATGAATAGAAAAAAACTCTATTAGAAAATATTGAAGGAAAAGTTGAGATTTTCACATTATTTGTTCAACATTGGCGAGGGGTGAAATCTGTTTCTTTACAAAAGCGAAGAATATCAATTGTTAGAAATACAAAGGGTGAGAAAACCAAAGGGAGAGATGAAACTGAAGTTACCAACGTTGATTCAACGAAAAACTTAAAAAAAAATTTTCTCAGAATACAAATTTTCCTTGTATATATTGTTAACCCAAGTAAACCCTCCAAACCCTAAAATAAAAAAAACGTGGGAAAAGTAGTGATTTTTATTCTTTTTTTTAATGTTTTCCAAAAATCACGAAATTTTAATTAAATTCATAATTCCTCGACCCGGTAGTCATTTTTTTCTTTTGATAATTATTTATTTTAATATTAGACGCAATTTAAAAAAAATTTTGTACGTTTCCTAATCGGGGAAAACAGTAATTTTGGTTTTTTTTGTCATGAATTTTTGGAAAATCCGTAAATTTTAAGTAATTTAATAATTCCTCGCCTCGGTAGTTAATTTTTTCTTTTGATAATTGTTTATATTAATATTACACGATATTTAAAAAAAATTTTAAGTAATTCCAAGTCGGGGAAAGCAGTGATTTTGAATTTTTTTGTGTCACGAATTTTCCCAAAATTCCGAAATTTCATTTAAATTCATAATTCCTCGCCTCGGTAGTCACTTTTTTCTTTTGATAATTGTTTATATTGACATTAGACGTTATTTTAAAAAAATTTCAAGTGATTCCAAGTCGGGGAAAGCAGTGATATTTATTTTTTTTCTCGAATTTTTTCCAAAAATCCTGGAATTTCATTAAAAAAAATCAAAATCACTGCTTTCCCCGACTTGGAACTACTTGGAATTTTTTTTAAATGGCACACGACATTAGAATAAACAATTATCAAAAGAAAAAAATGACTACCGAGGCGAGGAATTATTAATTTACTTAAAATTTCGTGATTTTTGGAAAAAAATCGACAAAAATAATAAAAATCACTGCTTTCCCCGACTTGGAATCACTTGAAATTTTTTTAAAATAACGTCTAATGACAAAATAAACAATTATCAAAAGAAAAAAATGACTACCGGGGCGAGGAATTATAAATTTAAATGAAATTTCGGAATTTTGGGAAAATTCGTGACACAAAAAAATTCAAAATCACTGCTTTCCCCGACTTGGAATTACTTAAAATTTTTTTTAAATAACGTGTACTATTAACATAAACAATAATCAATAGAAAAAATAACTACCGAGGCGAGGAATTATTAAATTACTTGAAATGCTCGGATTTTTCAAAAATCCGTGACAGAAAAACCAAAATCACTGCTTTCCCCGATTTGGAACTACTTGGAATTTTTTTTAAATGGTACTCGACATTAGAATAAACAATTACCAAAAGAAAAAAATTACTACCGAGGCGAGGAATAATGAATTTAATTGAAATTTCGTGATTTTTGGAAAATATTTGCCAAAAAAAAATAAAAATCACTTTTTTCCCCACGTCTTTTTTTATTTTAGGGTTTGGAGAGTTTACTTGGGTTAAAAATATACAAGAAAAATTTATATCCTGAGAAAATTTTTTTTTAAGTTTTTCGTTGAATCAACGTTGGTAACTTCAGATTCATAGGGAGAGAGGGTTTTGGATGAGGCAAGGATCTTGTGGGGTAAAAGATGGAAAAGCGAAGACAGACGAAAAGCCCCCCCATTTTCGGGGGGCAAAAGGGGGGTTGAAAGTAGTACAAACCAAATTCTTAAGAGAATTTAACCGTTTGAATAGCTCGCAAATCCATTGCAAATGTTTACACGGGGATTTTATACAGGATATCGTCTCCTTTTCATTCTCTTTCCCTTTTATCAAGAAACTCCTTGACTTTTGACTTGTCACAATTAGAATCCATTTTTAGTAAAAAAAGAAACTTTTTTTTTACTCTTCTTTACCTTTTGACAAAACTATATATAATATACAATGAAACTGTGTAAATATTTAATAATTATAAATTACCTTCATTTATCTTATCTTATTTCTTATCAAGCAAATATGAAATCAATTTTTGAATTGAATATTGTAGATTTTCCAACACTGCGAGTATAATGTATAATTATGAAAAGCGTTTCACAATTTTATCTCTTTATCGAGATTTTTTTCTCAATGATAAACTCTTATTTACATTTGGAGCATTGGAAAAGAAGCTTGTCACTTCATTAAGAAATAAAAAGTAAAACGGTTTATTAACGTCTCGTTTTTTTTAAAAACTATTTTTTTTTAACTTCAATATTAAGTGCTATTAAAAGTTAGTTAATTCATTAATTAATTAATAAAATTAATAAAATTAATAAAATACCGTCTCATTTTCTAAAAGTATTTTTTAAAATTATAATATAAAGTGCTTAAAAAATTATAATAATGAGAGCAAAACAATTAAAGGATACAAAAAATGGTGAATTTAAAATAATTCCTGGTGAAGATGAGTTAATGAGGGAAGAGGAGAAAGATTTTGAGAAAGGAAATCGATATCTTCAGTATTTAGCTTCAATTAGTGGTAAAACGGTTCAATTTAATTTTAGTAGGAAAATTTTTTTAATACGTCGAAAAATTCCATGGAATTTCCGTAGAGATTCCGTGAAAATTCTTCAAGTTTTATATTTTAATATTATTTTAACATTTCCATTATGATTAGAGTCTAATAATTTGCAATTTATTTGCAAAACTTGAATAAAATACGTATTTTGCAAAAAAAGTTCCAAAAAAATTTATTATTAGACTCTAATCATAATAGAAATGTTAAAATATTATTCAAATAAAAAACTTACAGAATTTCCCAGACTTTTCCCTGATTTCCAGACAAAATTTTCAATTTTTCCCTGACCCTAAAGAATGTTCTGATTCACTCTAAAAATTATCAGATACTCAAAAAACTATTCTATTATATTCAATTACGAATTTTTTTAATTGTAAAATTATTCCAAAACAGCAATAAATTCTTTTTTTTAAAAAAATTTAATCATTATTATTATTCCATAGGAATTAAGATTTTTTAAAATTTCAAATTCAAATCTTTATGAAATTCAACAACTTATAATAATTTAAATTTCCATAAAATTTTTCAAAAAAAAAAATTAAATTATTTACAAAAGTTTTAATAAAATCCTTCCTAAGAATTCAATTATTTTTACAAGTAATAAAATTTTCCACATAAATTCAATTATTGAAAAAAATTGTAATAATATTCGTTGTAAGAATTCAATTATTTCCTTAAATAATAAAATTTTTCTTAGGATGCCAAAAATTCTTATACAATTTTAAATAAATTCTTCGAAAAATGTAATTATTTTCAAAATTGTTTTTGAAGAATTCAATTACATTCTACAAATAATAATACTCTTCGCTGAAATTCAAATATTTTCAAAATCTACTAGTTTAATATAAGATTTCTTAAATGAATTCAATTATTTAAAAAAATTTAATAAAATCCGTTGCAAGAATTCAATTATTTTCATAAATAATACAATGCTTTACAGGATTTTAATTATTTAAAAAAATGTAATAAAAATTCTTTAAAAAAATTCAATTATTTTCATAAATAAAAAAATTCTTCACATGACTCCATTATTTAAAAAGAAATTTAATAAAAATTCTTTAAAAGAATTCAATTATTTTCCTAAATAATAAAATTCTTCACAGGATTTCAATTATTTTTTAATACAATTATAAGTAAATTCTTCGAAAAATATTACTATTTTTAAAAATATTCAAAATTCAATTATTTTTGAAAATTCATGCTTTAATGCTTTTAATATTCAATTATTATATAAAATTTTGACTGTAATTCATTTTTGAACCAATTTTTATTAGAAAATTCTACGAGAATACAATTATTTAAATACAAAAATAAATAATTTATTGAATAAATGAATGCTTATCAAAATTGAATCCTCATACAAAATTTTATCAACACTTTTTTTTAAATAATTGAAATCTTTTGAAAAATTTTATTATAAAATGATAGATATTGAAAATGCTATTGAATTGAGGAAAATTTTTGAAAATAGTCGAATTTTGGAGAAGAATTTTATTATTTCTAAAGATAATTGAATTTTGGAGAAGAATTTTATTATTTCTAAAGATAATTGAATTTTGAAAAAGAATTTTATTATTTCTAAAATTTGTAAATAATTGAATTCCTGTGAAATTTCGCCAAGAATATTATTAAAATCTTTGAAAACAATTGAATTTCGAAGAAGAATTTAATTATTTTAGAACAATATTTAATTTTTGCGAAGAATATTATTGCTCTTGAAGATAATTGAATTTCTACAATTATTTCTAACTTTTCCAAAATTAAATTTTTTTTCGTGTTTTTAACTAAAATTCTTCTATAAATGCATTACATATATTTAATAATTTTTGGAAAAGTTCTTTGAGTATTTTCAAAAACATTTGTTTACAATTTAATTTCACGAAATTTCGATTAATTAGAAATTCTTAATTAAATATACATTGAAATTCAATTATTTAAATACAAAAATAAATAATTTATTGAATAAATCAATGTTTTTCAAAATTAAATCCTCATAAATAATTTTATCAACAAATTTTTAAATAATTAAATATTTTCGACGAATTTTAATAAGATTTTCAAGAATAATTACATTTCTCTAGGAATTCGATAAAAAATTTTATTAAAAATAATTGAAATTCTATGATGAGTTTTATTATTCATGAAAATAATTGAATCTCGGTAAAAAATTTTATTATTTATGAAAATAATTGAATGTTTTCTTTTAATTTTATCAAAACTTTTTTAAATAATTGAATTTTTTCAAAAAATTTTATTATAAAATAATAGATATTGAAAATGCGACTGAATTGAGGAAAATTTTTGAAAATAATTGAATTTTAGAGAAGAATTTTATTATTTCTAAAGATAATTGAAATTTTTTAGAAGAATTTTATTATTTCTAAAGATAATTGAAATTTTGATGTCGCATTTTAAAAAATTTTTTGAACATAATTGAATTTCTGTAAAGAATTTTATTTCTTTTGAAAAAAAAAAAATTTATTTCTGCAATTATTTGTAACTTCTTCTAAATTCAATTTTTTTTCAGTACTTTAATAAAACTTCCTGACTTTTCCCTGATATCCCTGAGACCTATGACAACCCTGGAAATGTTAAAATATTTTTAAAATAAAAAAACTTGCAGAATTTCCATGGAAACTCCATGGAAATTCCATGGAATTTCCAGAAGGTTCTTCCATGAAATTTTTCGACGTGGGATTTTTTACCTAGCATTTCTTTTGTTTTTTTGTAACAGTATCATTGTTGTCAATGACATGTGGAACGATATACACTTGGACATCGCCAGCTTTGCCACACTTAAGGAGTAATAATTCAGAAATAATTCTCACCGAAACGGAACTTGTTTGGATAGCAACATTACCGGATATTGGAGCATTCTTTGGTAATGTTGCCATGATATTTGCCCTGCAACATTTTGGTCGTAAATATTGGATTTTATTCCTAGGAGCACCACACATATTCATGTGGTTAGTGATTATTTTTGCGACAAATTTTTACATGTTATCAATACCACGTTTCTTAAGTGGTATCATTGGTGATCTTGGTTTTATGCTCCTACCATTGTACATTGGTGAAATTGCCGATAAAGATATTCGTGGTATATTATTATTGTTGATAAAAATATTCTCCAATATTGGACATATGTATGTGAAAACAATTGGAGCATTCTTTTCGTTTCGTGTACTGAACATAATGATGTTATTTGTGCCGTGTTTATTTTTCGCAACATTTCTATTTATGCCGGAGAGTCCGTATTATCTTTTGTTAATGAATCGAAATGAGAAGGCTTTGAAGACTCTGATGAAATTAAAGGGTGTGAGGAATGAGGGGAAAATGGTACACTTTGAATTGGAGAGAATGCAAAATGCCGTTGATGATAGTAGGCAGAATAAAAAATGGATGTTTGGTGAATTATTTTTTATTAAGGGTAATCGAAGGAGTTTGATAATTGTACTTGTGGCGTGGTTGACGAAATTCTTGTGCGGTGCAACGGCGATAAATTCATTTACGCAGGAAATTTTGGAAGCAACGGAAATTGAAGTGTCACCGAAAATTTGTGCAATGCTGTTGGCTGTGATTGAGGTTTTGTTAACATTGTCAGCGACGTCGATTATTGAACGAGCTGGTAGACGATGGACATTTTTACTTTCTGGAATATTTTGTTCATTTGGTTTACTAATTGTGGGAGTGTTTTTCTATTTGAAATTGGGTACAGAGTTGGATGTTAAACCATTCTCTTGGCTACCGTTATTCGGTTTGTTTGTCTATCAAATTTCGTTCTCGCTTGGTATCGCCTATATTCCTATTATCATGATTGGGGAAATGTTTTCCATTGATGTCAAGATGCCTGCTATGTTTTGCCTCAACGTTTCCATGAGTCTACTTCTAATTGGCATTAAAGTTGCTTTTCAGAAATTGAACAGCGTGATTGGAATTTATACGACATTTTGGATCTTCGCTGTATGTTGTACAGTAGGATCGATTGTGTTTTTCATCATAACACCCGAAACGAAGGGGAAAACACTCGAGGAAATTCAGGATCGTTTACATCGGAAGAAGAGTTATGTCAGTGAGGAGATTATCATTCCAAGCGAAAAATATTAAGCTGTAAATTATTTCTTTAATATGTACCTATTAAAAAGTATTTTCTAATTTTGAGTCTTGTTTTGGCATTACATTCATCAAATACGAAGAGAACTAGAAATAAATTAATTTAAATTGAACTGCGAGCTGAGAATATTTATACACACAAAATAAAAGCGGCTCGAAATCAGAATTGCTCGAAACCAGGAAACGGATACGAGACCACAACGATCAGTAGTGTTCCCTTAGCAGTTCGTCTCCGGTTTCAGCTCATGTAAAGTACACCCCTACGAAACAAACCTTAGCTCCAAAAGCGGTTCGACCTCGAGAAGGGGTTGCCCGCCCCTTTAAGACAAACAGTGGCGGTGTCTTAACAAGTGGACCAAGCTGTGCCCAAGACAAAGGGTAATTGAGGGTAGGGATTAATACCCCTATATGTTGGAAATCCAGCCTTTCGAGTTGTGGAATTCTCACTCCCATTTCGCACTCCACCTCCCCCCACCACTACCACTACTACTACTACTCCAAACCAATTCCTCTCTTCCTTCACTTCTGAATCTTAAAGTCAGTATACTGTCCCTCTTGAAATTTCTCGCCCTCTGTACATCTTCCACAACTCCCTCTATCGCTCTCAGTCTATTTATCTATCCTTGGTATCTATTTCTTCTGACCTGCATCTTCCTCTCAAGATTCTCTCTTTCTCTATGTCTATCTTTCTCTCCTTGAGATCCTCGTCTCACACTCAAGATATCCCACTGGGAAATTCTAGGGTTATCTTACTAATTAAACAATCAGATACAAGCATCCACAAAATCTAGACCTTCCATCAATTAATTAACTTTTCCCAGAAAACTCCAGAAGATTGAAATTCAAAGTCCACTACAACAGTACAACTCCCCACTGGATCTCCGATTCGATTCTATTCGTTTTCAATGGAATTCTATATATCAGGAATGAACCTAAAATTTTGAACGTTCAATTGAACGAAATTTATTTATATCTTCTTTAAAATAAAAATTTTTATTACAACTATTTTGCGTCACTATCAAAAAAAATTAATTGTATAGTTTCTAAGTGTAAAATTAAAAATTCTAACTTTTATGGCAATCAGTCATTTCTATATATATTTTTAACAAAACAAATATTTCGTTCATTTGAACATTCAAAATTTAAAGATCATTAACAGGAATTACAGGAATTACAGGAATTATACAGTAGAATGAAATGTACCCGAAATGTAAGACTGGTATCCGGGTAAACCTACCAAAATGAAAAGAAAAGAAACTTTTTTCTCTTTTTTCAAAACAGAAAAATAAAGTACGATTATTAAAATTTAGAATTAAAATAATAAACTTTTTAAGACACTATTTGAAACTTCTCCGGGACTTGTTGCAGTCTTCTTAAATACCCGAAAACTTGGCAAGGTTTAAAATTGTTCCCAAGGGAAGAGGCTCACAATTGAGCCCTGAGACTAACTTTCCCGAATTATAATACAAAATACCATAACTATTGTCCTAATCACACTTTATTCTAACTGGTTTTTCCCCCCTCTCGAAAAGAGTAGATTGCAGACTCATCTTGACTTTTGTATAAGTCGCGAGTTTCAAATATCTGAATAAATGGTATGTCGTAAAGGAGTCTCGTCTTCGATGAGCCGTTGCTCATTTTCTCCTTCTCATCTCTATATTATGAATATGAAATTCCAAATTAAAAAAAATTATGTTTACACAGGGCTCGAAGTAGGTCCGTAAAAACCTAAGGGTCCGTTAAGTTCCGTAAATTTGTAATTTGATTGAGAAAAGACGAAAAGTTCCTAAATTGTACGATATAATTAGAAGAATTTTAGAGAAATTAGAAATTATTGCAAATTATTTCCAAAAGTAATAAAATTCTTAGCAAAAATTCAATTTTGCAATTTTAAAAAATTCTCGTCAAAATGTCAATTAGCTTTAGATATAATTAAATTCTTCTCCGAAATTCAATTATATTTTCAAAAATTTTTATCAAATTTTTGGCAAAATTTCAATTATTTTCTAAGATTTTCCTCAATTCCTTGATTTTTAATATCTACTATTTTAATAAAATTTTTCCAAAGAATTTAATAATTTAAAAAAAATTTATTAAAATTCTACGCAAATCTTTAATTATTCTCATAAAATAAGAAAAATTTCACAGGAATACAATTATTTACAAATTTTTTATAAATATCTTCGCAATCATTCAATTATTTTCATAAATAATAAAATTTCTATAGTAATGCAATTATTTTCGTAAATAATAAAATTCAATTTTAAGAAACATACAATTATTCAATAAATTGTTTTTTTTTGTATTTAAACGATTGAATTCTAGTAGAATTCAATTCAATTCAATTATTCTAGTAGAATTTTCTGATAAAAATTGATTTCAGTTAAACTTTTAGATTATAATTGAATTTCTGTTAAAATTTTCGATAATAATTGAATATTAAATGCATTGTGGCGTGAATTTTAAAAAATAATTAAATTTTGAAAAGGTTTCAAATTAAAATCTTTGAAAATCTGAGTTCTGCATATTTTTAACTAACAATTGTATGGAATTATTTTTTTTTAGAAAGTTTAATTACGGATTTGTTTTTGAAATTATTTGAAGTATTTATATTTTTAAATATATATTTAATTTAAGAATTTACGAATTATTGAAATTTTATATAATTAAATTGTAAACAAATGAATTTGAAAATTCTCAAAAAACTTTTACAAAAATTATTAAAAATAATGCATTTATAGAAGAATTTTAGTTAAAAACATGAAAATAAAGTTTAATTTTGGAAAAGTTCGAAGGAATTCAATTATTTTTAAAAAATAATAAAACTTTTCACTCCAATTTAATTATTTTTAAAAAATAATAAAACTTTTCACTCCAATTTAATTATTTTTAAAAAATAATAATATTTTTGAAAAGAATTCAATTATTTACAAAATTTATTAAAATTCTTCGCAAAAATTCAATTATTTTTAAAAATTAATACAATTCTTCACATGAATTCAATTATTTTCTAAATTTATTAAAATTCTTTGCAGCAAGGATTCAATTATTTTTAAAAATTAATATGATTCTTCATAGGAATTCAATTATTTTCAAAAATTATTTAAATTCTTATCAGAAATTCAATGAATTAAAAACTTTTCATAAAATTCTTCACAGGAATTAAATTATTTACCGAAAAGTAATTGAATTCTTTACTGGAATTGAATTATTTTCAAAAAATTAATTCATGCATAACATTCTTCGCAATAATTTAATTATTTTCATAAATAATAAAACTCATTGCAGAATTTCAATTATTTTTTATACAATTTGAATCAAATTTCTCGAAAAATGAAATTAATCTTCAAAATTTTATTAAAATCCGTCGAAAGAATTCAATTATTTAAAAATTTCTTGATAAAATTCTTTATGAGAATTAAATTTTAAGAAACATTTAATTATTCAATAAATTATTTCTATTTTTGTATTTAAATAATTGAATTTTAGTAGAACTTTCTAATAAAAATTTATTTACAAATGAATTTCAGTTAAAATTTTAGATAACAATTGAATATTAAAAGCGTGAATTGTAAAGAAATGGATTTGAAAATTGTCAAAGAACTTTTTCGAAAATTATTAAAAATAATCAATTTAAAGAAGAATTTTAGTTAAAAATTGTTAAAAATAATAATCGAATTGATAATGATTTTATTACTCGGTCATCTTTAATTATTATAATCATGTTTTATAGTTATGAAAAATTTTATTTATAGTTTTAAGTAAAATGTTTTCTTACTTGACTCAGATTGGTTATATATTTTTGTCAGCAATTGGTCCCTAATTTTTCATTTTTGCTCCGTAAAGTCCGTATATTTTTAAATACTTTCTCTGTTTCGAGCCCTGTATTTAAATTTTTAAACAGTGTATAAGGAATATTCTACGAATTTTAAAATTGAAAATCTTGCCAAGTAAGAAAATTTCTTTAAAAAAAAATACAGAATGAGAGAGAGAGAGAGAGAGAGAGAGAGAGAAAATCCAAGCCGCAGATATATTGAAAATGATAAAAAGGAAACATTGAAATAGGCGCATACCAAAAATTGAATAACATAGCAATATCGAATACCACGATTCACCTTTAGAAATGATATCCCTTTTCATGTATTTATTGAATTCTCCCAAGGAATGTAAATCGAGTGAAGAATATTCGGTTGAAAAGGAATAACTTCTCTTAAACATCTATCATATTCATACACAGATTCTTTACAGAATTTTTTTTAAAAAATGTTTCTCTTTCTTATCGAATAATTGAAATATTTTTATAGAAAAAAATCTTTATTTATGTAATACAGAAAATTTACCGAAACATAGTAAATATTAGACCAAAAGAACTTAATAGTATATTTATAGTATATATACTCTATGAATCTGAATAAGTATAAATGTTTACTAATTTGAATTCGTGACCGACTTTTTGCTTTTGAATTAGTAAATTTTACTAATAAATTAGTAGAAATAACTATTTATTAGTAAAAATTACTAATTCAAAAGCAAAAAATCAGTCACTAATTGAAATTAGTAAACATTTTTACTAATTCAAATTTAGAGAGTAGTTAGTAAAAAAAAATTGATAGTATATTTCCTATAGAAGTAAAGAAACTTGATAGTACATTTATATAATAGTAAAACTCCAGCTAATATTTCTATCGGTACAAAAAACTTTAAAGTTTTTAGTGTATTTATCTAGAAAAATAAAAAACTCGATGGTACAAGTACTAATGGCATAAAAATACTTTTCTAAATCGATTTAATATATTTCTTGAAAGTATACAATAGATAATTATTTCTCATTAAAGAGAGAGATGTAGTATCGCGTAATAAACAAAGAAATGAAAGGTAAAGTTTCGATATGCGACTATATGTATACATATATATATATATATACTATAAAGGGGGATGTAAATCGAGATCGTACCAATTTTCTGATATAGTATCGTGATAAGAACGACAGGCAACGCCACATGTTTGGTGTAATAATCACCTAGCAACGATATGCGGCTCAA